ATCTATCTATCTATCTATCTATCTATCTATCTATCTATCTATCTATCACACAGCAACTCTTTCAAGCTGGGCCCCGTTTCATTCACAACACCTGTCCCACCAACCAGGAACCAGAACCAGATATTTAATAAAAACAGTAATATATGAACCTGTGGATTATCTGAGGATCTTAGTACTGAAACCCCAATAACAAGGTACATTTACACACTAAAGGACCAGTTTGATAGAACACTATTTTAATACAATATATATGATTAGGGGGTCCCCGCTCCATCAGTTTTGGGGTTCTTGGTCTGGAAAATATTGAATTAAATGATGAATTTCACCATGTAGGCTGAGGTTTACTGGTTTTATCCAAACACAAACAGCTTTCTCTCTTGGAGAAGAGGCTGTTTTGTTCCCGTCTTTGTTTGGGCTATCTAAGGTGTGTGGGCGCTTTATGTGGCTGAACAGAAAACAGTTATAAAGCCTGTTGTTCTAAAGCCTGTTGTTCTCCTGTTTTCTCAGGGCAACACCCAACTTCTGGCTGTAGAATATTGTGAATGAAGCTGAAGCTGATGTTTGGTCGCTGTTTTATATTAGAATAAACACAGTGTTTGCTTTAGATATGTCTTTATGTTACGGAGATCTGAGGTTGTATTTGGCTTTGTAGAAACAACCTCATTTGGATGTGATGTAAAATGAGGATTATTTACCTTCTTCACCATCTGTGAAGTGAGAAAGTTGACTAGGAACGAGGAATTTTCTCTCAGTTGGAGACTCTGAGACTTAACCCCTGTGAGGGTCCTTTTATTGTTTGGATAAACCAAAACGTCTCCATTTAAATGGATCACACACAGCATCCTCTCCTTTTTCTCCCACTCCGTGCCCTCAGGCCGGACCGCTGTTTTATATTAGAATAAACACAGTGTTACAACCACATTTGGATGTGATGTAAAATAAGGATTATTTACCTCCTTCACCATCTGTGAAGTGAGAAAGTTGACTAGGAACGAGGATTTTTCTCTCAGTTGGAGACTCTGAGACTTTACCCCTGTGAGGACCCCCATGTGTGATCGTCCTTTTATTGTTTGGATAAACCAAAACATCTCCATTTAAATGGATCACACACAGTATCCTCTCCTTTTCTCCCACTCGCTTGCCTCAGGCCGGACCGCTGTTTTATATTAGAATAAACACAGTGTTTGCTTTAGATATGTCTTTATGTTACGGAGATCTGAGGTTGTATTTGGCTTTGTAGAAACAACCTCAATTGGATTTTATGTAAAATGAGGATTATTTACCTTCTTCACCATCTGTGAAGTGAGAAAGTTGATTAGGAACGAGGAATTTTCTCTCAGTTGGAGACTCTGAGAGGACCCCCATGTGTGATCGTCCTTTTATTGTTTGGATAAACCAAAAAGTCTCCATTTAAATGGATCACACACAGTATCCTCTCCTTTTCTCCCACTCCGTCCCCTCAGGCCGGACCGCTGTTTTATAATAG